GTATTAATTGATAATTCATAATATTTAAAAGATTTTGATCAAAGAGAATTTGTTTGAATTTCAAAATTTAAAGGTGACGCATAAATTGAGATTTAGGGAATATTTAACAGTATTGTTCTTATCGTTGTTTTTCGATAGATTCTCTACTCTAAAAAGAAAATAATCCAAAAGATGAAGGTTAAAAAACACACCTAAAAAATCTCAAGTTTTTGAGTTTTCTACTTGAATTATCAGCGGTTTACTTTTTTTACCTGAAACTATTACCAACTACGTATTTATCAAAACATACCTCAATTATCAATTATTTTCTTTTTTCTATCTAAAATATCATCATTGTTCAGATGGAAAAAGTGAGCAACTAGTAGTTGAGGTGTGTTTAGATAAACATTTGGTGATAGTTCATGTAAAAAACTCGCACGCTTGATAGTTTATGTATGAACTCGAAAACTTGAAATATTTTTGGTGTATATTTGACATTTCAGTCAGATGTAAATATAGAGAATAAACAAAGCATTATGAACAATAATAGCAATACAATAATCAAAATACAAAAAACATATAATAACATAAATAGAAGAATAATTTTTAAAAAACAACAACATTATGGCTATTAATATAAACAGACGAAACAATACATTATTTTCTATTAACTTTCTATCATAATTTACGACCTCCACAACCTCGTGTCTTTTGCTCCTATAGTTTTTCACAATATCAAGGTATAAATTAAAACACTATATTATGAGTAAAAATAATCATATTATAACACTATGCTTGGTCAAAAATGTAAATTCATTTCTCTAATGAATAAAGGGAATAAAATAATTAATTTCTTAAGTATGGGGAAATAGCTAGAGAATTTCAATGTTTATAAACCAAAAAATTAATTTAAATGTCATTATTTTTTTATGTGACAAACAAAATAATTGAAGAGTTAGTATTATTTCATCCAATCTTTAAAATATTAACATTATTTTTTAGACGACTTTCAAATGTTACATCAATACATTTTCTTCAAAAGTTTTTAGTCTAAATTTTTGTTGATCTTCTCTTCGATTCTTCTTTCGTTACATACGTTATATACATCATTTTCTTTAGGACTCAATATTTTTGCTGAGATTAATCCTATTACTATACTAAAGAATATGTTAGATATTAATATCATATTTGTTACAGCTCAAATCTATGATATATATTATTCATGTTTGCCTAATAAATCCCGCAAACGTCTTGAACTCGATTATGAAATAGTTCAAAAAGTACAAACATGTGTCATGAGTTTGGATTATTATAATTTTGAATTTCTCTTGTTGGTGCTAGTTGTAAGTCACTAATGATTTGTAATTTAATCATAATCATTTAGTTCTATTTATTTTATTTTGTTTTAATTATCCAATTGGTCTAATTTATGCCTGACTTTGTAACCTCCAAAATTAGAGAGTTGACTTCTAGGAATAAAATGGTGCAATTTTGAGCTATAAGTATATATGGAAAAAAAAATTAGGATCGCTTTCTCTTGAATGTACTTTATACGGTGTGAATCTAAATTAGTCAAGATTACATTATAAATATCGAACATCGGAAGATTTTTTTCTTGAAGAAACTCGAAATGTTTGAAGAAGAATATTTCGTTGACTTTATAATGGAGAAAAATATAAGTATATGTTAAGAATTATTGGGTGTATACTATATGTGATATTATCTAATGTATATATGCCACTATGATATATTATAATGTAATTAAATTAAATACAAGCTATATGCCTTTTGTTATATAAAAATCATGCTTACAGGTGTGGACTAAACAAGATAAAATGTTTGTTGAGTTATTATATAATATATTTCACAAGATAGGTTAAGACGTATGATTTGTAAGTTAATTCTTTATTCAACTTATAATTGATTATTTCGTATCATTTCCTTGTATCTAACATCAATATTAGTATTTGTTTTGTAAAGAAACGATAGGAAGCGCTTTACTGAAGACAATGAATGAACGAATATACCTAGCAAAATTTAAATTAATTGAATAAATACTTTAAATACAAAATGGTTAAATAAAAACATTATAATGTATCATATAGAGTATAGAGTAGACCCAACTTGATTAATTAAAATGTCAATATTGCTATTATTGAGTATATATTAAAACATACTCCATACTAAAAAGTGAAAAAAAAGAAAAAAAGAAAAGAGACAAGCTTGTCAAGTAATTAAGGGCCTTTGGGCCAAGCACATTCTTATAGAGCATAAAAGCTCTAATTCTATCAAAAGAAGATGTAATCTTTACGCAAATGGCCGATCAGATTTATAATTTACTTGTTTTAGTTGGTATTTATTGATTGCTTAAGTCGATTTAAAAAAAAAATAGTATTTCTATCTTCACGAGATAAAAATAGAATTTACACACATACTATTCTTTTCAAACTCCACTCGTGGATTACACACGTTTAATATATATATATTACTTCAAAAAATGGAATAGAGTTACAAGCTCACATCTCAAAAAAGATTGTAGAATTTCCTGACAAATTGACAACCAAATAGGAAATACAGCGATTTTTAGGTTGTCTTAATTATGCAGGAGAATTTATTTCTGATCTAGCGAAGAAAAGAACAATCTTATAAACCTTGCCAAAGGAAAAACTTATTTTTCAAAATTTGACTGTAAAAGTGGATTTTGGCAAATAAAATTGACAGAAGAATCCATCCCATTAACAGCGTTTAGTACGCCTAATGGACACTACGAATGGATAGTAATGCCTTTCGGATTGAAAAATGCCCCTCAAATCTTTCAAAGAAAGATGGACAAAATATTTTCCGAAAAAGATATGGAAAAGTGATGATACACATTTGTTGAAAACAAGAAAATTCCATTGCAGGATGCCATAGCTTAGATTGTCTATATATGGTAGAAAATATCTTTCAAAAAAGAATAACCAAATAAAAAAAAAAGAATCTTTTAAATGTCAGAATGAAAGTTGTACTGTGTAAATAGGGGAAAACATTTTTTTAAGCACACATTTAAACTTTAAAAATTTCTACAATTTTAATTAAGAATTTTAATTTGAAGTTTGAACCATAGAAATTGAGGATCTTTCGGCATAAATCACTAAAGAGTAAAGTTACCTATTTGACATGAACCTAAATTAATTGAATTCATAAATTGTGTGTATCGAATGATTAAAAAAATAGTCAAATAATAAAAGTATATATTAATGAAGTTGATTAATGAGAATTTTGAATTTGAGTTATGCGTAGAGGACATTTTTATTGGGCAACACATTACTCTCTAATGAAAGACATTTTAATGCGAAATTTGAATTTAATCAAAATTAACGAAAATATCAGACATTTGAGTGAGAAAAATGATGTTGCTCCAAGTTGGTTTCTTCTTTCTTGTTCAAAATGACAAAATTTAATGAAAATTAATAAAAAAGCAACATTGGTTGTGTTATGACAATATGGTCAATGCACCTATATGGTTTAGGCATTTAACTCCTCATTATTATGCTTCAAATTATTATTATTATGAAAAAAGAGTCTTAACTCTTATGTATGCAAAAAAGAAAAAGGAAAAAAAAAAAAGAACGACAATCAATCCAAGTTGGTAACCAACTAAACTTCCATTCGCGTTTCAAAGCAATTCTTAATCTTTTTCAGACTTTTTACGTATATCCATCTTTCGCCTTGTGCCTAACACTCCTATAGGCTTTTGTAAGAAAGAAAAAAACGACAACCAATTCAAGTTGATCACTAATTAAACTTTCCATTCTCATTCAAATCAATTCTTGATCTTTTCAAATCTTTCAAGTACATCGATTTTTTGCCTTGTGCCTGACACTCCTAGTGTCTTATATATGAAGAGGAAAAAAAAAGAAACAACAATCAATCCAAGCTGGTCACCAACTAAACTTTACATTCCCATTTCAAAGCAATTCTTGATCTTTTCAGATTTTTTTACATACATTCATCTCTCACCTTGTGCGCGACACTCCTATGTCTTATATAAGAAAAAAAAACGACAACCAATTCAAGTTGGTCACCAACTAAACTTTCCATTTTCGTTTCAAAGCAATTTTTGATCTTTTCATAATTTTTACGTACATCCATCTTTCGCTTTGTGCTCGACACTCCTATAGTTTTATCACTTATGTAAGAAAAAAACACAACCAATTTAAGTTTGTCACCAACTAAATTTTTCATTCCCGTTCAAAACAATTCTTAATCTTTTCAGAATTTTAGACGACATCTAGCTTTTGCCTTGTGCCCGACACTCCTATGTACCAACCTCAACCGGCCTAAGCTGGTCACCAACCCAACCGTTTTGTCACCTCAAACCGGTTCTCAGATCTTCATCAATTCTCCTCCAAATTCAATTTTCTTTTTTCTCTCTCTCACTCACTGTACTGCACTCTCTTTCTCTCTCCAAAACTCAAAAAAGAATTTTTTTTTTTTGTTTCCAGATCAAGAACCCCTTCACATTTCCTACATTTTTTTTTCTTTCTCTAAATTCCTTCAAAAATATAATCTTTTTTGAAAAAAAATCAAGTAAAGGAGAGAGAGAGTGAAAAAAAAGGAAAAGAAAAAAGCATCATTAGTATCACTGAGAAACAGCTTTTGTTTCCTTCATAGAATAATGAAGCTCTGAAAAGACAAAGTCTCAGTTTCATCCTTTCTAAAAGATAGAAAAAAAAATAAAGCTTAATGGAATCTGTATCTATCAAGGTTCATTCTCAATTTCTATAATATTAACAGCTGTCTCTACATTTTTTTAATATTTGCAAGTAGTAAAGTAAAATCTTTAATTTATTGAAAAATGTGTGTGTTGGAAGTTTATGTATAGTCAAAGACAGATAAGATTATTTTTTTAATGCATTTTGAAGTTCTTTGATGTGTTGATGTTTTTTTTGAGAGATTTAACTTTGATGGGTGTGTTGGAAGATTTTTTAGGGGAAATAAAATTGTGGGGTTTTGAGTGTTTTATTGAAAAGGTTGAAACTTTATGCTGAGATTTGCATTTCATTTTAAGTATGAGGTTGTTTTTGTGAGTTTTAAGTTAAGTTTGTTTTGAAGATTGAGTTTTGAGAGGAAACAAATTGTGGGTTTTGAGTGTTTGTATGAAAAAGGTTGAGTCTTTATTGAGATTTTTGCAATTTGAGTGTCAAGATTGAATGAATACATGTCATTTTGTAGCATCTAAGTTAAAGGGTTTGTTGTTTTTTCTTGGATTTGTGAAGGATGATTTAGCTAATGCAAGTTTTGTGCTTCTGGGGTTGAAAGGTTGTACACTATACATAGTGATATTGAGGTTTAGATAGTCTTTTTTTGCAAAAAGGGGGAAATGGGGGCGGGGATTACAAGGTGGGGAGTCGAACCCTCACCAACAGGGTGAAATTTCAGGTAGCAAACCAACCAACTGAGCTACTAAGATCCCCCAGTTTTGGTTTTAGGTAGGATTCATAAGCATTGTTAGGTGTGATTTGTTGAGTTTTTTCAGGGTTCTAGCAATGTGTGGTTTTGTAAGATCTTGAGAGGCTCTTCAGATTAGTAATTTTGAAATTTTGGGTCGCTGCAGGAGGCGGTAGACGTATGGAATTTTGAGGATTCAGAGGCCTAAAATTGAATTAGGAGACAGAAGCAGAGGGGAGTTTTGTTCAATGTCAGGAGCTTCAAGGGTAAGGTCAATGAATGTAGCTGATTCAGAAGCAAGGCCAGTTCTTGGACTAGCTGGGAATAAGGCACAGAGGTCACCTGGTTCAAGAAAATCTGTTTCGAAACCTACGAGAAAGATAGTGAAGTCAAAAGAGGAGCTTGAGATGGGAGATAAAAATGGTCACCAACCATCCCCTTCATTGCTTTCTTTTGATGTTCCCTCAATACTTAGGCGACAGGAGTCGTTGTATTCCAACTTTTCACTTAGTGCTTCATGTTCTTCTGATGCCTCGACGGATTCATTTCACAGCAGTGCTTCAACTGGTAGGATATATAGAATGAATAGTACCTCAAGCAGAAGGAAGCAGTTGGCGTCGAAGTCCAAAAGGATAGTTTCAGATGATATATCAGACTCTTCAATTGACGGTTCGCAATCCAAGAAAAGATGTGCCTGGGTGACACCTAATACAGGTGTGTTCTTGGTAGATCTTTTTTTAAAATTTACATTATCCGAATTTTGATTCTTTGTTGCTTCTGATATTACACTGTTCAAACTGTAAGCAATTATCATTGTAAATGTAATCTAGAAATGTTTTAAATTAGAAGGTAAATTGCAGCCTGATAGCTGATATTGCATGTTCTTCTTTACCATCGTTTTCGGAGGTGACCAAGAATGGGGTGAACCTTTGAAAGATGTTTCAAGATGAAAAAATGTGGAAATTCGAACAATTTTAAGTATTAGTGCCTTGGAATAAATAAATGCATAATACATAGATAGACACTTTAACTTGGCCTTAACTAGCAACTAACGTTCCAACTTTGAGTATGCATGTCTAGACACCTCAACTCATTTCGACTGTGTCAGTTGAACACTCCAACTTACAAAATGATCATCTAGACACCTCCAATATTCATGTGTAACGTCAACGTTAGGTGTCCACAAGAAACTGTGAGGATGAGCTAGAGTGTTAAATCGCCAGTTGAGATCAAGTTGAGGTGTCTAGATGTGCACTCTCAAAGTTGGAGTTTTTACTTGCCAGCTGAGGCCAAGTTTGAGTTTCTGTTTATGTATTATTGAAATCCTTTGGCTGCACAGTATACGAATTGGCTATAGCAAGACCTTATTATCTTCTACTTCCAGTACTGTTGGCTATAGGAAATGTCAGATTGAATTTGAAAAGCTGCAGAAAACTTTAAATATCTTTGGGAGTATATTACTGAGGATTAAAATCCATGTTAAGCTATATATATATATATATATATATATATATAGTACGACCTATACAATTTTGAGCTTGTAGTTTCTTATATTGTCTTTCCTTTTAACCAGATCCATCTTATGCTAATTTTCACGATGAAGAATGGGGAGTTCCAGTCCATGACGACAAGTAAGTTGCCAGATTCTTGTCCAGAGAATTCTTACATAATATATTGATTCTAATTCTTATTGAATCTTGCAGGAAGCTATTCGAGCTCCTTGTCCTTTGCGGGGCATTGGCTGAACTCACATGGCCTTCCATTCTTTGCAAGAGGCACATATTCAGGTACTTTTTGGGATCAGTTCTTTGATTTGATAGAGGAAAAGTGTTATTTCTTCACCAGGAAAACAGTTAATTTTTTGGCATATCACATAAATAAACATTCAAACTTGGCCCCAACCCGCAAGTAAGCACTCAAACTTTGAGAGTGCACATTGAGACACCTCAACTTGGTCTCAACTGACAACTAAACACTCCAACTCGTCCTCATTGTGTCTCGTGGACATTTGATGCGGACGTGACACATAACATTTGGAGGTGTTTAGATGATCATTTTGTAAGGTGGAGTGTTCAACTGACATGTGGAGACAAGTTGAAATATCTAGATGTGCATATTCAAAGTTGAAGTGTTTACTCGTCAAAACTGAGGCCAAGTTTGATTTTTTGTTTATGTAATTATGCCTAAATTTTTTCTTTAAAGATTTTCTTTCAATTATTCATGTTATTGTCAGTAAAAGGGATTAACACATTCTAGTTCTCCTGTGTGCTACGCTAGGATGGTCTGCTATGTTTTGTCTTCCGAGTTCTTTCTTGCATTGCCTCGCCATCTCTCTACCATAACTTTAACAAATAAAAACAAATTGTGATGCAGAGAAGTATTCGCAGATTTTGATCCCATAGTAGTGGCCAAGTTGAATGAAAAGAAGACTTTAGCTCCTGGAGGTACAGCATGCTCACTATTATCAGAACTTAAACTGCGAGGCATCATTGAAAATGCTCGTCAAATGTTGAAGGTATTACTCTCTTATCCAGCTAGAAATAGTGGTCACTTCCACCTTGATTCAATTTGTTTGCGTTTACTAATTTGTATAGGGTGGTCCAACGGCTAACATCAACTATTTAGGATAAACACTTACATGTGATCCAACTTATAGGCAACTTACTCACTAATTAAAGAAAAAATCATTGTGAATGTTGAATTTCTGAAGTAATAGTATGATTTTATCGGGAGTCTCTTCCGTGGACCACTCTCAATTCTTCTTACTTCTGTTAAAAGTAGGGATATATTCAATCATTTATTGATTTGTTGGATTAGGTAGAGAAGTAAGTTAAATAGTGGTCCTGGTGATAAGTCAGTTTGTTTGATCTGTACCGACAACTGGCAAATTCACTTGAGGCAGGCTTACCTTAATATTTCAAACTAGAAAGTAATGCCAGCTGGTTATACCTAGTACTTCCTCCGTTTCAATTTGTTTGTCTGGTTTTGACTTGACACGGAATTTAAGAAAGTAAAGAAGACTTTTGAATCTTGTGGTCTTAAACTAAAAAAAGGTTGAATGTACCAAAATATCCTTTAAATTGTGGTCTTAAACATGCCATGTGAAAAGTTGAAATCAAAGAGTTCCCAAAAACGGAAAGAGACGTTCTTTTTGAAATGGACTCTTCTTAATGACAGTGTGCTATTTTGCTTGGACTCATGAAAAATCACTGTGTATCTGATCTTCCAAAAGCTATTCATTTTTGGTGGATCAGACACCGACTCGACAACATTTTTTGAGGGTCCGAGTAACATAGCCGGTGTGTGGCCTAGTGACAGGTTTTGTGAAACACAAGCTTAAATAATGAATTTCATGTTGTTTTATATCAGGTTATAGATGAATTTGGATCATTTGACAAGTATATCTGGAGCTTTGTGAACCACAAGCCTATAGTAAGTGGATTTAGATATCCTCGTCAAGTTCCGGTGAAGACAGCAAAAGCAGATCTGATTAGCAAAGACCTAATTAGGAGAGGTTTCCGGGGCGTGGGACCTACTGTGGTCTACTCTTTCATGCAGGTTGCTGGTATTACAAATGACCATCTTATTAGTTGCTTTAGATTTCCTGACTGTGTTGAATCTGCTGAAGGTAAAGAGAAGGACTCGAACAACGATGAAACTGAAGCAACACAAGCCAACAAAGCAAACGAAACAGAGATATGTAGATCAATCGATGACTTGAGTTTCTCCTCAGAGTGATTTTCATCTTTGTGTTATTCAGGTGATATAAAGACTTGTAACAACTGGTTAAATTCACATAGATTAGCTGCAAAAACTGGTTGTGTACAGAGAAATGAGTCAATATCTATGCATATCATAGAATTCTTGATATTTTTAGATTACTAGATCAAGATTAACTAGGAGTAACTTCTGTTCATGTCTATAAATGAATGAAGTTTTTTGCAAGTCAAAAGTTATGCATGTGGTTAAATAGCAGCTACCCTCTCCCAAGCTAGTGGTAAGAGCGAAGCGTATGACGTGTGGTTAAGCACTATGTTGCTCAGACTCTTCAAATATATTAACAGGTGCATGTCGGATATTCCAAAAATAGTGCATTTTTGGAGAGCTCGAGCAACATAGGTTAAACTTAAGCACATGTCACTAACTTGAGCCCTACTGCATACAAAAGACTAGTATTTAGTGGAGAAGAATAGAGGGACGGACTCATTGTCCACTGACTTGTGAACCGTGCGTCAGTTGATCCTCTGGGATTTCTCGATTATCAAAAAGGAAGTTACACTAGCAACCATCTTAACCTGTTCACTGAAGCAGGTAACCAAAAGCAAAACATCTATTAGCTTATGTTGTTCAAACTCTTCAAAAAGACAGGTGCGTATCAGGTTCTTCAAAATATACTCTATTTTTTGGAAGACCTGACATATGTACGGCAACATTTTTGGAGAGTACGAACAACATAGTCTATTAGTTATTGTACCTTGAATTAGGTCATACATCTACATGTAGGGACTTATGTTATCTGTTAATGTCTCAAAAACTGTGCTTGACAGCTCAAAGTAGATTGACAACTGAGAACTATCTTTATAACAAATGGGGATGGATTGTGAAATATGTTTCCAATTTCCAAGGCAGGTTTACCAACTGTTAAGGGCCCTATTTTTAAAGATGCCCAACTTTATCTCAATGTTTATTGAATCATTTAAATCTCATTGATATTTCTTATTATAAAATCATTTTTTTCCATCTGTCTGAGCCTCAACGAATAGAATTAATCGAAATTGTGCTATTGAGAGGTAGCAGATATTCGTGAAATTAGTCAAAGTGTGTTGACATCATGGCTGTCAAAAAACAACAACCTTATTGATAGTTCTTCTTCACCAACTGTTTGATACTCCCTCCGTTCATCTTTACTTGTCCATTATACTATTTTGGAATGTCCAACAATATTAGTCCAGTTTATAAATCGATAAATAATTTATCATTTTATGTCTACTTTACCCTTGCTATTAAATACTATTCATTTTTCAATGTTTAAATGACTTATATTTAATAAAGGTGCTTTGGAAAAATTACCCCTATCATTTACTGCTTCTTAATTTCTGTGTCAAGTCAATAATGGACAAATATTGTTGTACAGAGGAAGTAACTAAGAGATTTTGGGAAGTGTGCTTAACCCACACATCATGCATTGTGCTCTTACCACTACATTAGACTTTTATCTGTGAGGGACTTCCAACCAGTAACATGTATCATATATTGCACTCTTACCGTTAGATTACATACTAGGCTTTTTTCTACTGTAGATTTCAAACCAATGATATACGTCTAACTCACGCATCCTAATGGATTGCTCTTGCTACTGGACCAAAGCTCTGGAAACAAATGATTTTAAGAGATGATGTCATAGTTTTTTCCCTTTATAAAATGCTTATCAAGTGAGTTAGTATTTTTTTTTGTCTCTAAGCTACCATTTGCAAGTCTAATACCTAATATTTTAAGCATTTATTGTTAAGGCCATATATTTAGTATTTATTAAGTAGACAAACATAAACCAGTACTTAATATTTGTCCAATTTTGTTCAATTGGTTAATTCAATTGTCTTGTCTAGTTATTGAATATTCTTTATCTAGGACAATTGCTATCTACATAATCATAAATCACTTGAATAAGATGTGCCTAATCAGGGGTGTTTGGTTAGAAAATTATGTTCATGATTTTGAAAAGTGTTACAGCGCTTGGACTGTAGTGTTATTGCATACGATAAATTAAGTTATCATTTTTTTTTACTTTAGGTGTGGACGGGAGTGTTATTGAATCCGATAAATTAAGTTATTGTTTTTTTTGCTTTAGGTGTACATAAGTAGATACTTAAATTTGTAATAATGACACACACGTCCTACGTGAGATTATGTCACGTAAGACAAGAAAAATAAATTAAAAAAGGAAAAATATGTAAGACAAGGAAAAATTGAAAAAAGAAAAATATGTAAGACAAGAAAAAAATTAAAAAAAGAAAACTATTCCGTTGCCGGGACTTGAACCCGGGTCTCTCGGGTGAGAGCCGAGTATCCTAACCAACTAGACTACAACGGATCTTGTTAGTTAAATAACTTCCATCTGGTCTCCTGAATTAATTGACCCGACTAATTAAATCCGCATTTAGTATGGTACGAAAAAGGGAAGCAAACTCTCCAATTTATCTATTCGAGCTTACACTTTCGAGACTTCTAATTAGGGGTGAAGAAATCTCATTCATCACGGAATACACCTGGGTGGTAGTTTGGCACAACACTTCCTATCCTTCAATTATGGGTATCAAATAAAATGTTGGTTGTAATAAATACTTACTCGTACCAAGTGTTTGATGTTCATTAATTTAATGTAAACAGCTGATGCAAGAAATTATGTTATTACAACACGCAAATAATTGGAGCATTTTTCTGATCAATTTTATAATCGATTATACTTTACAGTCATTCATACCCTTGCTATTAGCAAATCATCTCATATACTCTATGTATCTAACTACAACATATCTAGTGAAATCTCGTAACGGGGTCAGGAGAGGGTGGTGTGTACCCTACCTTACACCTACCTTTTTGAAGGTAGAAAGGCTATTTCGATAGACCATCGGCTCAAGGATGTATAACAGCTGAAAGAATTCCTCAATTTCAAAGAGTCTTGATTAGACCATTAAGCACACACTATAGGCCAATAATGAATAAAACAAGTAAAAAGAAAGTGACATTCATGTAGATTATTTCTGCTATCAAATCCAGTTTATTGCCTTTTGCCAAACAAAAACTATAGAGTTCAACTATTCAAGCCATGCCAATAGATATAAGGCGTTTTCACGATAAAACGGATTGCAAAGTACCACGATAACAAGATATAAAGCGTCTTGGCTAAAAAGCAATTATTTATGCTGCAGAATGAGCGCAACTAGCTCTTGGTACCAATGTCCTTCACAGCACAGATCTGCTCTTCACCCATTGCAGACATCACAGACAACACGAGATCCTTTCCTTCCTCAAATCCACCTTTAACCTACAAAAAGTCGAGAGCTTTGCTCAGATATTGTGTATGAAAAAACTAGAAAATAAACATTCTTCACGTTTTATCCATCCAAAATGTGTACCTGGTTCAACAGGGCGTCATCGGTGGGAAGTCTGAGGTCATCTTTGGTGTTTCCATTTTCAGTAAGAAGAGACACCTAGCCAAAGAATGAACGAATAACGACACTCAAAACAGGTATAGCAAAAGGAAGTCCAGTTTCAAGACTATAATTAGAACGAAGAACTTTTAATTTCAAGTTTTTTGGTTTTAGTATTAAATTTTGGAAATAAAAGGATTGTTTTACACCTTAGGTGGAAAAGAAAAATCAGTGTTCATAGTTGCACCCGTCGGCCACATTACTCACAAGGCACATTCTTGGAAGGGGAAAAGAAAACAGTAAAAGTGGGAGAAATTTTCTACTTTAAAGATATATGTTCAGTTGCATCATCGAACTTCAAAAGGACCAGCCCAGAGGGGAGTGACCCTCAACGGACCTTGGGAAAGAGTCGACAGGACTCATTGAGAAAAGAATCTCCGTAGGAGCTCTCTCACAAAAGAAAGGTAAGACAACTTCATCACTATTCAAATCTCAATTTCATGAAGAAATTACTACAGACATCAAACACGATGCAATACGTCATCAACCAGAACTACGTAGCACTATCTCCAATAAGTTTTTCCCCAATAAAAAAGATGACTTATACACTTCATATACTAGGTAAAAGAAAAAAATATACTAGGTAAAAGAAAACTTACAAAACCATCTTCAGAGATGTCAATCAGTTGATAGTCAGTACGATTGACATGTGGCACCTGCAGATAGCATTTAAAAATCAGACAAAATCAAACTTTGATTGTCAGAAAACAGAACAAACATCCATAGAAATAACGAAGGGGAGAATCTTGTCTTACATCACAATTGTGGGATGAAGGAACAATATCTTCAAGCTTCTTTCCATTGAAAATGTCGATTGCCACAAAGTGACATTTTGCATGTCCGTGCTTGCCAGTTTTGGAAGTGGAGACCTCAACAACCTGTTCAAGATTTCCATCACATTAAGAACAATTGCTTCCATAGACAAAACCAGAAAAACCTCTTAAAGTTAAAGAGCCAGAAAGGAAGAGTAAACCAAAAAAAGTTGAATATACCTACTTGCAACAATATTTTGAGCTGATACAACAATGCTATTGAACCAAAGATGTCTGTTTTCTTAACGAAAACCTTTAACAAGAAGATATCACCCGTTTCCTTTCATTTAATCAGATTAAAGAATACAAAAGGGGTAAACTACAGTGGGTGAAATCTGAATATAGTTTTCTCATTATTAAGTTTTAGAACACGGAGTTGGAAAGAAGGAACAATGAAATTCCCATTAGAAGAAAAGACTTAACAGTCTATCATACTGTTAGCTTATGCAACAATACCAGTGACTTCAGATTTCCCTTCTAATGATGCACTTCACATGCTAGCGATTTACTCAAAAATCAATGATGTGTATGCATCAATAGTCATTGATTGAAAAATGTTTTCATTAGTTGATATCCCCCTCTTTCTTCTTTCTCTATTAGTTAGAGATATGAGGTTAGAAAGAGAAATTAACATTAAACTTATAAAGAGAACCTCAGGGCATATTCACATATTCAATCAATGACTATTGATGGATACACCAAACTGATTCTACTCACTAAAATTTTGCCAGACATCTCCTATAATGCTATTGGGATAATGTAAGTACCCTTTTTCCTCAAAAGACTTTGAAAAGGTTCAACCTTTTGACTCGTATCAACTATAGCTAATGCAAGAAAAATACAAGAACCATAATCTTCAGGAATAGTAAAACAAAATCCTGGAGAAAGCTTACTATCTAAGCTACATATGTTCACATAAAAATCAAACAAATCAGGGGTTAAAAGTCACAGCTCAAACACACCCTATCCTTCTTTTGATGTAAAGAGAAATCATTCGGGTAGTTTGGTAGTTGATTGTGGTTAAGCTAGCTACACATTAAGTTTTTTTTTTTTGTATTTTTTTGACCAACTTGGTGTGATATGAATGAAATTTATGTGACTCAACAATAGACCCAGTGTAATCCCACATGAGTGGGGCCACTAAGGAAAGAAATCACTAATAATTTTTGTCTCCGCCGCTATTTTTATTTTTTTGGATAAGGTAAAGGTTTATTGACTAAAGTACCAAGAAGGTACCAAAACCAAAAGTTACAAGACTGCTGGGAATATCCAAACAGTCAATTACATGCCTCCACCGCTATTTGAACCTAAGACCTCATGATTCTCAACCTAGTTCATTGACCATATACCTGCCCGATATTCTAACCTAAGACTTCATGATTCTCAACCTAGTTCATTGACCATATTTGCCCTCGATATTCGAACCTAAGACTTCATGATTCTCAACCTAATTCATTGACCATATTTTTTCCTCCGCCGACATTGAAACCTAAAACTTCATGATTCTCAACCTACTTATTGACAATTTTTTTGCCTCTGCCAATATTCGAACCTAAGACCTCATGATTCTCAGCCTACTTCATTGACCACCAAACCACACCTTCATCTCTCCAACTACAACTACTTAGAGATCCATGAAAACAAGCAGCAAAAGGAAACAAACTCAACCAACAACAAGGAATTAGATAACAGCAAAACCATTAAAGGGCAAGAACACATCAAGATCTGATTTTTATACAAGATTCATTCAAATTAAGCAAAAATAACAAAACCCCATGAAACAAAACATAGATTAAACACAAAATCTGAACTTCCCAAAGTAGATTTAATTGAAAAAATTAAAAGGGTCTAAATTAAAAACCTTGCAAGGTCTGCCTTTGATAACTATATAACCACTCTTGCGAATAGTACCAGCTTGTTGAGGGTAAGTTTTTGAGGCACCAGCATCAGCTTTGGACTCAAAATGGTGTTCTTCATCAGACATAGCTAAATCTCTCTCTCTTTTCTCTCTCTTCTTCTGTTATGAACTTCTTTGTTTTGCTGTGGAGAACAAGGGGATAGGCAAATGAGGAGAAAATGGAAAAGGGAGTAATTATATAAATACCAAGTAATAAGGGACAATGAATTAAGGGTTATAGAAAAGTTTCAAAATTAAGGATTGGTGACTCAAGTTTTAATTATTGAGTAGGGGTGATAATTTTTAAATTAAAATTAAGGGGTTGAATTTTTTATCCCTAAGTTTTTTATTTTACACTTTAGTCCATCTTATATAAAATTCTAAATAATAAGAAATTGAGGGGGGAAAAGGGTACCAATGGTTCACTTTTTTTTCCCTTTTTCTCTCTTGCTTATTCTTCCATTGTTGGGGACCATTGTTGCTGCTCTTCTTCTTGATTCTT